CCCTCTGCACTTATATTCATACATTTACTGACTCCTGCTCTTTCATGCCCATCTTCTATTTTGTTTCCTTGTGTATTCACACACCTGCTGGGCGGGGCAAGAGCCGCTGGTGTAAAGTGGGATCACCTGTTCCCAGGGTGCCTCCCTCCCTGCAGGCAGCTGCTTTGTTTTACTGGTTTAGTTCCTCTTCAGTTCTTCCTTTAGACTTTGTTTTCATGCTCCGTGTGTTTCTGTGGATTTAAATCCATCGAAATATAATCGAAAATTGCAAATCTTGTTGGCTGCCGCCATGAGGCGCCAGTGTAAGAGAGCGAAGTGTGAGGATGTTGTGGAAAAGTTGTGTTGAATGAGTTTACAGAGGATGGTCAGCAACAGTAGGAAATGATATAACTGAATGAGTTATTCTGCATTATTATCATTATTATTACTTTGATTCCAGTTTGAACAGACCAACTTTTGTTTACATTGATCGTGTTAAATTATTTCATATTTTCTTGTTAGTCAGAATGTTTTATGTCACTTATTGTAGTTGTGGTTCTTCCGGTATTTGTTTAATTTATAGTTCGGTGTTAATATTAGTGACGCTAACTTTGGTCTGGTCTCCGTCAGTCCACAGTGTCTTTATAATGGCGTCACAGTCTCTCTGGCCTCGCTCTGGTGCCGGTAACATGTACGACCGAGTTAATAAGACGCAAATTAGACAGGTGCTAATAACCAGTCTAGTACAGGTTTGACAGAGCAGCCATCTTGAATTTTGAGGTCGGGGTCGGTGAGGTTCCTCCGAGTTTCTGAAATTAGGACTTCCCAGTTGAAATGGAAGGCACCATGGAGGTCAGACCGTGATCAAACATCAGTTTAATCGTCGTTATCGTTGTTTTGTTCAATAAAGTTTGTGTCATAAACACAGATCAGCAGCTCAGCGTCAGATTGGCCGCAGCACGCCGTAGTGAAAACCAGCGCGACGAGATAAATCCTCGTTTGGTCCCGGGATTCTTCACGTCGGGGGGGCGGGGCATCAGAAGACTTCACCACGAGGTGACGCCGCTGTCGAACTGTCTGTCTGAAGGGTGACGTCACCTCTGACCTGCTCTGCTCTGTGACCTTGTGTCCTTCAGACCGGCTGACCATCGTAGCTCACCGTGAACAGGACGTGACTCTTCCATGTCAGACTCGCAGCGGCGCTGCCATCATAGCGGCGGAGTGGAGCAGACCCGACCAGGAGTCCCACTACGTTTTCTTTTACAGGGACGACCAGGCAGATAAGACGCACCAGCATCCGTCTTTCGAGAACCGCGTGGAGCTGGCGGACGGGCGGATGAAGGACGGTAACCTGTCTTTGATTCTGAGGGACGTGAGACGCAGCGACCACGGGACGTACGAGTGCCGGGTGAAACAGGAAACCGCGGCGCGCAGGAAGCGGGCGTTTATCAGCGCCGAACCCATCAGCATCGTCGACCTGAGAGTCACTGAATCACGTGAGTGTTTCACTTTGTCCTTTTTCTCTCAGTCAGATTTGAACTTCTACACACTTTAACCCTCAGAGGTCAAAGGGCAAGTTCTTCTTAAATTCACCTTTAAAAGTTACGTCCATATAACATAATACCCGGGTGTTTTATATCACAACTTCCAGAACAATCGCGGCTCTTTCTGTAGTGACGCCCCTCGTAGAGCAAAGAGATCATTTGGCCCAAATGCTGAAAACTTGAAGCCTAGTTTTTGAAATTCTTCAAATATTTCGTGAAAACAAACATTTAGGAATTGTTTTGTATTTAGCAACGACTATAAGTTCATAAAAATAAAGTAATATATGAGTAAAATAGTAGATAAATGGATAATAAACCCATAAAATGAAAATTTCTTACCATCTGTCACTCTGCTTTAACCAAATTTCAGAGGCTTTGAGTCAGGTACATTCTTGGAGGAGTATGAAACAGAAAGTGGAGAGTCGACAGAATCAAAAAATATTTACACCATATTTATTCGCTGTGTAATCGCAAAGATATTAATAAAAACATCCGTCGACCTCAGAGGGTTAAAAAAACTGTACGGGGGAGGATTTCCTGCGGCTCTTTGCTGATGAAGCAGAATTTCCTCGTTCTGTCCGGTTCAAACTCGTCTCATTAGAGAACAATAAAGACGAGCTTTTATTTTCTCATTTCCTGAAATTCCTCTTTCTGAAATGTTGCTGAGCAGAGGCTGAACCTGTCTGTGCTCTGCAGGTCGTACACCTGGACACAATGGGAGTGGACACCACATGGTTGGACATGCTGGACTGTTAGTGTGTCTGTCAGTTTTGCCTGTGATGCTTGAGTTATTGTTTGTGTTGCGTCTCATATAATGGACGATATCTTACTTTGGCATATGAGCTACTTCTCAGATGAAGCGTACAGGCAGCCTAATTAAAAAGTGCTATATTTAGATATTTAATACGTTCAATCGCTGCTAACCAGCCTGTTATTAACTGTTGAAAACCAGCAGCTAGCACGCTAACATGCAGCTGGTGACGGCAGTCCTTGTTCTGCTCTGCGGCCTCAGCGAGACCTGCCCGTAGGTTAGCTGGGGGCTAGCAGCGGCTAGCAGCGGCTAGCCGCGGCTAGCTGGTGAGCAGCGACTAAACTTTCAAATCAAAACACTCACATATAGCACCTCGTAAATTCATAACAGCATAGTCCAAACCAATACTCCTCCTCAACCAAGACAAAAGTGTGACTGGTTGTGACACATCTTGTAAACATAGGTGATCCGTCACTCTATGGGTCTCGCCTCTACACTTCACCTAGTAACTTCAAAGTAAGTTCTTCTTCTTGCATGGAAGTTGCCATTTTGATTTGAGCGTGTGTGCAACCCAGTGTAACGAGGCCTTAGGTAAAGCGCTTAGAGCTTTTGTGTGTTTTTTGTGTTTGATATTTGTGCGCATATCGGTTTGTAACGCTCGCAGATGGGACTCTGGAAAGTTGCCTCAGCAGCAACTGTTGAACCAGAATCAACTTTATTTCCTTATTCACAAGCCGCATCACTCTGGATGTAAACAATAAAATACCACAGAGCTTCAGGGGGAACAAGTCCAAACGTGTGCACATTCAAGTCCAAATCCACAAACAGTCGGGGGAGGCTATGGAGAAATGTGGGTGGTGCTGATCTGCTACATACAGATTTACAGTAACGAGGTTACTGTGGGCACCTGTGTTGCAAAGATAATGAGTCTTTAACTGATGGTTCGTTCACAAACGTCTGTGAATCAATATACTGACAGTGTTCTTCATGTGCACCCCACCCCACGCCTCCTCAGCCAGAATATGTGAGGAATGTGATGTCGTGGAAAACAGTTGTGCAGCGGCTTGGCAATGTAAAAAGACTGATGGATGGACCTGACTGTGAGCTCTGCAGCTGCACTTAGCTGGGAGTTCGTTGTGATCTCTGTGTAGCTAGTAGCATTTCCTGGACCCAGAGCTGCAGCTGGCCTGAGAACCAAGAGAGGACAGAGAACAAGGCCTGCCGCAAAGCCGCTCACTGTCTTGGCTGTTTCGTCATGGATGGCGTCAGATACATAGAAGCTACAACACAAAGAAGAGTCTGTGCGACTCTGTGAACAGTTCATTCACACTAATATGGAGCTCCATTTTAATCTGAGGCAAGCATCAACCTCTGAGGCTGAAAAATGAAACTTCAACATGAAGAACCAGAAGCTGCAGTTCCTCTAACGGCCACTAGAGTCTGGCTCCAACAGTGAGTCAGTCCCCATAGACTCCCATGTTAAAATGTCCAACTTTACAGCAGAAATAAACATGTTTACAGCCTGGTACAAAAACTGTTTTGGTCTCTAGAGCTAATTTCCTCCTTCATGACACCTGTTTATATAACTCACCTGTTTACATTTTATTAAGGATTAAATTTGTGGAGGATTGAGGGCGTGGCCTCTTTTAGTGACACGTGGGTGGGTGTATGTTTGACCATTTTTGGATTAGCTGGCAGTTAGGGGCGGAGTCAGGTACGTCGTGACGGCGGAGGTGGTCACTCTGAGCTTCACAAACTTGTGAGTGACGTCACAGACGCTACGTCCATCTTCATTTGCAGTCTATACACTGAAGCTGTGGCTTTGCGTTCCTCTCCCTGTGTTGTTACCTTGTCGTGGTGGAGAGGCTTGTGTGCCTCACAAACTGAGCTGGTACCAGGTTCAACCGAGTCGGACTGGTCTCAGAGTGAGGCCGTGACGAAAGACAGCACACCAGCCCCACCCTTTGTGAGGGGGCCAAGGCTGCTGAACTGTGAAGGACGAGTTACAGGCTCAACATGTTGTCGAGGACGGGGAGTGATGGACGGAGCACATGGTGGTCTTACGTCACACAGGGGAAAAGATGATTAAGAGATATGTAGCTGACTCTTTTCATGTTGCAGAGTTTATGAACTGTTAAGTAGCAGGTTGAAAGACTCGAACCTGAAGCTGAATCTGGGTGCACAGTCAACGATGATGGCAGAGAGACCTGAAGATGGCAGTTCAGAGACGCATCACATCCAATGAGGATCTGCCGGGAAGAACAGGATGAACTGCCCAAATCCAGATGTGTAGAGACTCACCCAAGAAGACTGCAACCTGTAACTGCTGCCAAAGAGGCTTCTACAAAGTCCTGGATTTAAGGGTCTGGGTGAGCAGAAATTTGAAAGTGAAGGGATCTAAGTACTTTCTGAACCACTGAACTTTACATTTACCAATGAATGTGATCATGGAGTAAAGAGTGACTCAGTGTGGTATAATCAGGATGGGTTTATCACGAAACTTACAAACTCATTACCCAGGTACTCATCAATACAATATATCTTCACCTTCACCTCGTGTTATTTCACTCCTCCTCCGACCGATTGTGGATTTGAACACCAACGTGCACCAAGTATCAAACATATTTGTAGTTGAATTTTCACGGTTCGCTCTGAAGATCGACGTATCTGCTGTTTTTTATTGTTGACATCTAAGACGATGCAGCGTTTGGCGGCAGACGACTTGAATCTGGTTCAACAGTTGCTGCTGTGGTAACTTCCTGTCTGTGAGCAGTACAATCCAGACCCATAAATCTGTCCCTCCAGTTGGACTTCCTGGATCGTATGTCTTTGGACATTTCTAAAAGAGTATAAATAATTGGGGAATAAATAAACAATAAGACTTTGTGATTGCTTCAAAAGTAGGAAATGGTAATTTTATCACTCGGCATTCACAATAGTTTATTACAGTACAACAGCTGCCATGGCCAAAATACATGAAACCAGGACTATCCCTCTTTCTTATTTCATGCATAAAAACATTGGATATTTTAATGACGTATTGATCAACATATCATGTTTTCCATAATAAGGATAGTTCAATAAAACCGATGTACAGAACATGTCCCGCACATAAAAAGAAACTTTGAATTGTAGCTAAAATATTTTTCAAATTTTGTATGTTGAAAAATCTGAACTGGAGTTTCATCATTTCAATTTGCTTAAAAAGTATCAAAAAGTATATTTTATATTTTTGAAAATTGATATATATTTACACTTGAATTTGTGTCCAAACATTTTAGTCCACACTCTCAGATATGTCTTATTTTCATTTATTTTGTTTGATTTTTCTTTGTCGTTTGTTTTGATTTTGAGAATATTTTCTGTGTTTATGTGGTTTGGTTTCGAAAATGTTCATTTCATGTATTTTCTCCTCGTGCAGAACGTAAACACCGTCAGACGGTTGGTGGTTGGTGGTTGGGAAAACAAAAACGGGTTCAACCTGATTTGTTCTACTGAGTTGTCACTTGTTAAACAGTAACAGTGGATTTTATTTACACTAGATAAATGTTATGTATTTGATATTAATCACATCAAAACTCTAAAATGAAGAAATTCAGAATTTCATGGAAAATCACAACAACAACAAAATAAAAAAGTGTGATTAATGCTGATTAATGATTGAGGTAATTTTACATATGTGAATGTTGATTTTGGCGAAAGACGTGACTGAATTAAATTTGTTAAAATTACATATCATTCTTAAAATCCTGTGATTTATAAAAATGTTATTGTTGGGAGTTTGTTCCAAAAATAGCTTGTTAGCTTAAATCTTGCTTTTCAAGAGTGAGTTTCAGGAAATAATAAAGCTTTTTTTAATGTTATGTGTTATGTGTGTTGCTGTGTGTGTGTTTTGTGTAGATCATGTGATGATTGTTCAGATGACTCGACAGCCACAAGTGAAGCTTGTGAACACGCTGAGAAAATAAACGGATCAAGGTCACATGTTGCACCACTGTGAAGAAGCCAAACATCATCACATGAGTGAGTTGTGTACCCACTCTTCTTTGTGTTTCACTTCCTCTTCCTGGGAGGAGACGCACAGTGCAGGTTTTAACGGTGTGATACTGCCCCCTGCTGGCTGCCTCTGAAACAGCAAACTGATTCTACCGACCTGTCACCTCATTGAAAACTCTTTTGTCCCAGTAAGGATCCTGTAGTCCCAGTGGTCAGGGCTGTTGAGCAGGTTAACCTGGTTACCATGGTGATCTATCTGGTTACTATGGTGATGTTAAACCTCCTCCTTATTATTTGATTGCTCTTTATTTATCTTATTGCTTTTATTGTCCTAGTTCTTGGAACTTTTGTAATTTTTTATGATGTAGAACACTGATTTTAGTTTTATCTGTGAAAGGTGCTATGTAAATATATTTTTACTTACTTATTATTCAGGTTTCCAGGTGTCATCCAGAGATTCTTTTTTCCACCTGTTCCATGCGTCACTGTAATTGGCCAGTTTAAAGCTGAGCGGTCTAATCACCAGCCAGATTCTTGTCCCGAGGATAAACTCTTCATGAGGTTGTGATCAGAAGAAACAAACTAACTCTGACTCTATTCCTGGTTCTAGAAGTTCAGGTTTCCTGTCACGTGAGCAGTGGTTGACTGTGACAGAGTGCAGAGGTTGTCGTCGTGTTTCAGGTCTGTCGTTGTGGTTTCTGTGAACTCTTTGTTCTCTCGTGTCTGACTCAGAGTCAGAGTCAAATTTTCCACCTCACGTCTTTGTGAAAGCCACAGAACCACAGGAGAAAACCAAGAAATGTGTTTACAAAGTTTATTGGTCCTGCAGAGAAACCAATCAAATATAAATAAAGAGTTGAGAAAAAAAAACTAAACATTAGATCCTGTTAAATAGGAACTTATAAATGTCATGTCATGAATCCTACAGCAGCTCAGCTCCGCTCTGTCCTGTCAAAAATAAAAACACTTTTATTTTCTCTACTGAAAATGCATCAAAAATACATTTCTTTTCAAGGATACCATACCTGAGACAGGACAGGTGCGAAGGTGTGACGGTCTTCCTCAGTGAAGAATAGAGTAGATAACCACTGGTTCTGGTGGACACTCTGAGAACACACACACAGCTTGAACTGAAAAGAAAGTCCAAACCTGGACAAAGTGTTCAGCTCTCAGTACTTTTGTATCTTCCACCTGAATCTCTGGTCTGAACTGTAGTTTCTCTCACTGCTTCACATTAAAAGTTTCCCATTTGCGACCCAGTGGGAGGCTTTTATTGTGAAGGAGTTATAGGAAATGCAATATGTCTGTCACCATGATAGCAGCGGTGCTGTTGTGGATGAGTCACACTGAAAAGAGCTGCAGACAACCACAGCTCCAACAAGCCAGGCCACACTCAATCCTACGTTTCCCATACTGCATCTGGATAGTGTCTTATATTAGATCCTCCCTGAAACCCAGAGGAACCAGATCCTGGCTGAGGTGTGCTGTATGAAAGAGGAGCAGCTGTACCTCTCCTGTTGTTTGGTCTGATGACTATCTGTCCATAAGTGACGCCGTCTGTTCTCGGTGCAGCTGGATCAGTCTCTGGAGAAGAAAGAACTGTTACCGTCACTGCAGCTCAGGGGCAGTTAAAGACAAACTGTATTAAATGATCCGGTCAATGATTTTGTTTGAGTAAAACTTCAACAGACAGAGAGCTGAAGTAAAAGCAGTGATGAGTCTCTGTTTCCGCAGCCTTTCACAGAAACACCAGCAAGAACACTTTTACCGTAACAGGAAACTGAATGATGGCAGAGCTGTTAGTTTCTGTTCAACAAGTGGGCACAGTCACAGCAGAGAGAGACAGACCCACAGAAACTCACACTGCACAACAACACGCAACCAACAAAACAACACGCCATCCATAACAAACAACAGTGCAAACCAAACAAACAACACGCAAACCATCACAAAACCAACCACGATTCCTCACAAACAAACACACGCAACCATCCAAACAACACGCACCCAACCAAAACAACACGCAACTCCAACCAAACAAACACGCATCCATCCAAAACAGCAACATCCCCGCAACCAACCAAACAAACCAGCACCATCCAAACAACACCGCAACAAACAAACAACACGACAACCAAACAACATGCACCAAACAAAACCACCATCAAAATCCAAACAACAACACGCAACCAACAAACAACACGCAACCACTCCAAAACACACGCAACCAAATAAACAAACACGCAACCATCCAAACCAACCACCGCAGAACATCCAAACAACACGCAAACCAAACAAACAACACGCAACCCATCCAAAACAACACGCACACCATTCCAAACAACACGCCAACACAGCAACCAAACAAACAACACGCAATCCATCCAAACAACACGCAAACCACCACAAACACATCGCACCACCCAAAACAACACGCAACCATCACAAACAACACGCAACCAAACAAAACAACACCCATCCCAACCATCCAAAACAACACGCAACCACAAAACAACCAAACAACAAACGCAACCATCCAAACAACACGCAACCATCCAAACAACACGCAACCATCCAAACAAACCACCAACAACAAAAACACAAACAAAACACGCAACCATCCAAAACAAACAACACGCAACCATCCCAAACAACACGCAACCAACACAAACAAAACACGCAACCAATCCAAACAACACGCAACCATCCAAACCAACACGCAACCCTCCAAACAACACGCAACCCATCCAACAACACAACCAAACAAACCAAAACACGCAAACCATCCAAACAACACGCAACCATCCAAACCAACACGCAACCATCCAAACAACACGCCAACCAAAAAACAAAACCAACACGCAAACATCCACAACAACACACGCAAACCATCCAAACAACACGCAACCAAACACAACAACACGCACCCAACAAACAACACGCAACCATCCCAAACAAACAACACGCAAACCATCCAAAACCAACAGCAAACACCAACAAATCCAAACAACACACGCAACTCACCAAACAACACGCAACCATCCAAAAACACACGCAAACCATCCAAACAACACGAAACCACAAACACACGCAACCAACAAACAACACGCAACCATCCAAACAACACGCAAACCAAACAAACGAACACGCAACCATCCAAACAACACCCGCAACCAAACAAACAACACGCAACCATCCAAAACAACACGCAACCATCCAAACCCAACACGCAACCACAAAACAACACGCAACCAACCATCCCAACCAACACGCAACCAAAAACAAACAACAAAAACACGCAACCATCCCAAACAAACAACACGCAACCATCCAAACCAACACGCCCAACCAAACAAACAACAACGCGCAACCATAACCAAACAACACGCAACCATCCAAACAACACGCAACCATCCAAACAAACACGCAACCCAAACAAACAACACGCAAACCCCATCCAAAACAACACGCAACCATCCAACAACACGCAACCAAACAAACAACACGCAACCATCCAAACAAAACACGCAACACAACAACAAACAAACACGCAACCATAACCAAACAAACAACACGCAAACCAATACCAAACAACACGCAACCAACACACGAACATCAAACAACACGCAAACCAAACAAACAAACACGCAACCACAACAAAACAACACGCAACCAAACAACGAACTCCAACAACACGCATAACCAAT